CAACAGGTTCAGAAAACCCTGCTGCCCCCATGCCCTGCCTGTCCTTCTGGGCAATGAAGAGCTCAAACTGGATCTGGTCTCAAAAGACGCTGAGCTCTGACATCTCTTACAGGCATTAGGGGCAGCTTTGCCTTTAGATGTTGAAAACATCTGACTGTGGAGTGAAGCTGATTTTTCTTTGGCCATTTCTGACAATTTCTGGAGTGAGTTTGCTAGTAAGTAACCCTGCACCTGCATCCTTCTCAGACTCGTTCCCTTGTCACCACCAGTCAGTCACAGGTTCATTTGCTTTTTCTCTTCTGTAGATGAAGAGTTCACAGTCACCACCTAGATCCTGTATGTTTCTCACGCCTACATACTAAAAGCACAGCTGTTTGGAGTCAAAACATCGCCAGGAGGAATGGTGCCACTTGTAAGGCCTGGGTTCTTGATTTATGTTGCTTGTAAACAGGAGAATCCTGTCTTGCTTGCAGGGGCTGTCCTGGTGTTGTGAGAAAGCCCTGCAGAGCCTGTGCTTGCCCTGTGCTGCCACATCACCCTTATGTGACCTCACCTGCACCTTCTGACTCCTACAGGTGACATTCAGTGCCAGAAACCACATCATTCTGGGATCCAGTCAGCTCACAATAACTGAGAATAGTTATGGTTTTGGCTGTGGACCTTCCCCCCCAGATGCATCAAAGAGTCATGTCAGGCTGCTGCTAAGTGTTCTTATCTCCTTTAAGTTCATAATTCAGTTTGTACAATTCTGTGATGAAGTCAGACTGTGGCAGTTGTAGTGTTAAATGAGATGAAGATAGGAATGTATTCACCTTTTTCAACTGGATCAGATTCAGACTTCCCTACTGCCAAATTCTCACTATGTTCAGTAATAAAGTGTGGCTTGTAAACATGTCAGCACTTAATGGGGCCTTGAATCAAATAGTCACTCATTCCAACTACTGTTGGTGCCAAAAGTTGTTCAGTGCTTATTATTTTACATCTCTCTTACCTAGGACTTTGTGACTTTTCCTAAAGTGCTAAAACCAAAACTCTAACAGAAAAGGCTTTCTGATAAAGGTTAAGCAGAACTAATTCATATGCCTAGAAATATTTCCATTTCCCCAAGAACAGGATCATTTTAGTGGCTTTATTCCCTTAGGTTCTAAATAGACCTCTCAAATAGTCTGGTCAGTAGAGAACATGGAATGGTTTTGTTTGGATAAACACCACAAAACCCAGTGGAAGGCTTGACCCTGAAGCAGATGACCATTGTCAGCTTTGATTTTATTGCCAAAGTTTGTAAATATTTTTCTAGAATAGGCCAATCGACTGTGGCTATTTGGCCTCAGTTGCTTGCTTGTTTGTAACACCAGCTAACGTTCTTCCCTGATTTCAGTCTGATTATTCTGATGTGGGTTGGGTCTGCAGATCTTTTCTTAGATCTTTCCTTTTAAGGGACAGGCTCGTTTTAAATGACCCAGCCATGAACTCCTAATGTTGCAGATCCTTCGCATGGAGAGCACTCTCCATTTTCTGACTAGAAACCAGCGATGGATTGGTTACTGCAACAGGAGATGGGAGACCACAGTCCAGTGCATTGCCAGAGACATTTGTGGGATTTGAGACAAATCTCTGCTTCTGTGGTCTATGGTGTTTTATAAACAGTAATTTGAAAAAGAGTGATAGGATTATTATTTATATAGGTTATAACATAATCTCCGATCCTAGCTGTGGACCCTCCTTGTGCTAATTACTGGTGGGAGAAATGGGTCTTAATGTCTTCACAAACAACTCGATGTGAAAAAACCAATCAGATTCTGGAAGAACGGCTGTGGGGATTTGAGAAGAAATGGGTGTTAACATCTTGGAAATGGGTCATGTTGTGTTCATTAATATCAAGCTGGATTTTTTGCAGAATCCAGATAATTTAAGCTTCTAAATTTTAGGGCAATGTGTAGTAGGTGGTTCGAGGAGTCTGTACCTTCCTAGTACCCCAGCTAATGAGGAAAAGAAGAAGGCAGCGTTGGGCTAAGAGTTTAGGATAAAAGGAGGCTGTGTCCTCCAAGAATTTGAGAGACTCCATGGGGGTATGGCCTAGTGGACTCTATCCCTTAAATCAAATAAAGTTGCAAGGCTCCTCTGTCTCTTTTGTGGATACTGGCTTTTCACAGCATGATTTTCTGCACATCGCTGAGTGTTTAATTTATGACCCATGAGACAGCAGCTGGTCACCATCAAGGGGACAGTGGCAGCACTCATCAGTGCAAAAGGCAGGGATAACATGAATCTTGACTTCATTGCAGGTACCCATCTTAGAGTTTGGAAGAAGGCTACTGAGATTACACTTTAGAAATGTGTATTTGGTGTAAAAAGCTGTAGTGTGTCCAGCTCAAACTATTTGCCTTTAGATGTTGAAAACATCTGACTGTGGAGTGAAGCAAACATTGAAATTCTGGACTTCAGCCAGGACTTCGCTTTTCATTTGCAACTGTCTGGTTTCAGCATGTGACAGATCTCAACTTGCAAACACCAGAGGACTCACAGCCAGGTGAGGACTGATTTTGCACAGCTCTGATGACCTCTCAGCAGCACCGAGTGAGAGCACACTCCTGTTCCGCTGTCTGCCCACCCCATTGGCACTGCCACATAGAGGTTGTGCTTTGCAAAACCTTGGCTTTTATCAGAGGTGTTCGAAAAGCCTGCGTAACATCTGGAGCAAATGGTAGCTTCCCAGGGGGCGAAAAAAACCACATGGAAATTGTCCTGTTTGTATTTCTGGAGAACACGGGATGAAAATTCTTGTTTGAAACCACAAATTTCAGGCTGGCAGGGCCATAAAGCAACCGTCACTCAGGACCGGGTCACAGCTTCTGACCCTCTAGGACACAGCACGGCTGCCCAGCCCCTCCGCAGGCCCTGGGCTCCGGCCGCGCTCCTGCCCTGCACCGAGGCGGGCAGAGCCCCACCCCGGCCGGGGCCGTCCCACCGCGGGCCGCGGCCTCCCGGGAGCGGGCGGCCCTGGAGCGGCGCTCGGGGAGGGCCAGGCCCGAGCCGGTTGCGAGTCCCGGGGGCCGGACGCGGTGAGTGCCTGGGCACGCCGGGCTCCTGCGAGTCCGCGCCGTGAGGCCGGAGCTGAGGCGGGGCCGGCGCGGCGGCGGGGCCGGGCTGGGGGCGGTGGAGGCCGGGCCGGGCGGCATGATCGGCACCGTGCTCTGCTATGTGCTGCTGCCGGCGGCGCGGCTCCTCCAGGCCCTGCGAGGTAACCCGGCCCCGGGCGGGCGGCGGCGGGGGCAGGGGGAGCTGGCGGGGATGGCCCGGAGGGGCGGGGATGTCCCTCACCGTCCCCCGGCCCGGTCTGGGGGGGGGGGGGGGGGGCCGGG